CCACTCATACGCGAAATCCGCTCTATTGATTACTTGAAAGTATTGTAAAACCCTCAATAATGTATAAATATATTTGCTATAAAGCTTTATAAATTTCTAACAATAGATTTCGAGCATATATTACCTATATTATTATGGGACGCTGCTTGTCCTACTCTGTCACCAATCTCTTTAGCTATACTTAGACATCTTTCCTGATATCTAATCGCCTTGTGGTATTCTCCTAAGCATTGATAGACAACACCTAAATTTCTATAAGTATTTCCTTCTCCTTGTCTGTCGCCGATCTCTGTAGCTATGATCAGTCTCTTTTCGTGATATTCAATCGCCTTGCGATATTCTCCTAATGATTGATAGGCTATCCCTAAATTTCCATAAGTAGCTCCTTCTCCCTGTCTGTCTCCGATCTCTTTAGCTATGATGAGTCTCTTTTCGGTATATTCTATCGCATTGTGATATTGTCCTAAACAATAATAGGCAACCCCTAAATTTCCATAAGTCTCTCCTTCTCCCTGTCTGTCGGAAATCTCTTTAACTATGCTCAGTCTCTTTTCTTGATATTGAATCGCCTTGTGATATTCTCCTAATGATTTATAGGTAACCCCTAAATTTCCATAAGTAGCTCCTTCTCCCTGTCTGTCACCAATCTTTTTAGCTATGATCAGTCTCTTTTCGTGATATTCAATCGCCTTGTAATATTCTCCTAATGATTTATAGTTAATTCCTAAATTTCCATAAGTAGCTCCTTCTCCCTGTTTGTCACCAATCTTTTCAGTTATGATCAGTCTCTTTTCGTGGTATTCAATCGCCTTGTGATATTCTCCTAATGATTGATAGGCAGTCCCTAAATTTCCATAAGCATATCCTTCTCCTTGTCTGTCACCAATCTCTTTAGCTATGCTCATATTCTTTTCATGATATTCTATCGCCTTGTGATATTCTCCTAATGCACAATAGGTAGTCCCTAAATTTCCATAAGTAGCTCCTTCTGCTTGTCTTTCTCCAATCTCTTTAGCTATGCTCAGACTCTTTTCCTGATATTCCGTCGCCTTGTGATATTTTCCTAATTCAATATAGGCATTCCCTAAATTTAGATAAGCAGCTCCTTCTCCCCATCTGTCACCAATCTCTTGAGCTATGCTCAGACTCTTTTCTTGATATTCAATCGCCTTGTGATATTCTCCCACTGAGTGATAAATTGACCCTAAACGGTTGTTAGCTTTCATCTCTAGAGCATGATGGCCTCTACCAGTAATAAGGCTTAGAACATTTTGGAAATTATCGATTGCCTTAGCTGACTTATGGACGAGATCAAATAAATTACCAAGTGCATAATAAATGGAACCAATTATCTTGGGCTCATTTAGGGAAAAAGCCATCACCAAACATTCCTCTAACAAGGAGATCAGTTCTTCTCTTTTTGATTTTGTGAGATTAAGAAGAGAACGATGAGCTGCATAAGACACACAAAGTTGTACGATGTTCAAATCCATGGCCGTCATATAGGTATGTGTGTTGGTTTTCTAGAGAAAAAAATAAGACGTTAGAATTAATTGTACAGTTCTTAACTACTTGCATTTGATCGCCAGTTTGTTTGCGTGATAAAATAAGCTTTTTAATGCAGGCATTTTACGCGAAAAATAGACCTTACCCGGGACAAACTATGACAACAGTAGCAAACTCAACGGATTTTTAAAGTTTACTGAGAAATTACTTTAAATATTATAACGTATTAGAGTCGTTCTCATTAACCCGTGGAACACACCTTAGCGCTTTATTCTTTACTACGCTTTCGTACACTTTAGTCTGTTCTTTTATTCACGAGTAACACAGATATTTGCATAGGAATTTTTTCCTATTGTATAAGAACACAATTCCCATGTAAGACTGACGCGTGTGCTTGCTATTGTAAATGCTTTTGAACACATAAGCGCTCCAAATGTCAAGAAATAAATGCGTTCGTGGAAAATCGCAGTGTAGTCAATAAATTGCGGAAATTGCAATTTTGCAGTTGTGTCCTTAATAAATATGAATTTGAAATTTTGTGTGGTGGGCAGAGTATTTAACCAATAGCACTATTACACCCTCATACACTTTGTCTCTCCTTTGCTATTACACTTTGTTCCACGGGTTAATAAGAACGATTCTAATATTGTGTGTGGGTGAAATAAATTATGAATTAAAGGTGGAAAATAATAGTA